TGTTTTGTTTTTGAATGAAACGCTGGATTCCTTGCAAAATACAAAACACTCTGACCATCACAATACAAAAAAATCTTCTCTTGTTTATACCCGAACTTCTCCATAAGTTTCTTCATCCATATCGTTTCTTTACAAGCTTGAATGGTTGCCATATACTCAGCTTTTATTGTAGATAACGCTACAACAATCTGAAATTTAGAGACCCATCTCATAGCTCCTCCTGCAATTATGAACATATATCTTGTAGTGGATTTTCTTTTCTCAAAGTCACCAGCAAAATCAAATGACTTCTAACAGTAAATTCTAATCCTTCATAACATAATGCTACATTTAAGGTACCCTTAATTTATCTCAAGAACTTCTTAATAATATTCCAATGCTCTCTACTAGAATTTGTCATGTATCGACTAACTATTCTCACTGCTTATACAATGTCTGGTCTTATATATATTTTGGCAAACATTTAACTTCCCACTACTGATGCAAACGGTACTCGAAACATCTTCATCCTCTTTGCTTCATTGCTAAAAAACATACTTGAAAATAATTTAAAATTAATAGGAAGTAAGGTGGAAATTGGCTTATAATCTTACATGTTATAGTGTCGTAAGATCTTTTTCAAATAATTCTTCTAAGAAAGCCAAATCCTCCTCTTATTTCTGTCTCGGTGAATTTACATCTCTAGAATCTTGTTTGCTGGTTCTAAGTCTTTCATATCAAATTCCCTAGCCAATTATGCCTTTAATTCTTAGCTCGATTTTTGTTGGGGCCTATTACCAACATGTCATCCACGTACAATAAAATGATGAAAACATCTTCTTCAAACTTCTTGCAATACGTATAATGATTTGAACTGAGTCTGTTGTACCCAAAACTAATTTTGAAGGAATCAAATCTCTTATACCAACACCTCAATGCCTGTTTGAGACCGTATAGAGATTTGTTCAACCTGCAAACCAAGTTCTCCTTTTTTATTTTAGCAAAACCCCCTCGTTGAAGCATATAAATTTCTTCAAGTTCTCCATAAAGAAATACAATTTTTACATCTAACTCCTCTAATTGAAGATTAAATATAACACACATTGTCAAGACTACTCTGATTGTAGCAAGTCGTACTACTGGGAAAAATATTTCATTAAAGTCTATTCCTTCTTTCTAAGCATATCATTTTATCATCAATCTTGCACGATACCGCTCCACTTAATCATTTCCATCAAGCTTTATCTTGTAAACCCATTTATTGCCAATGACATTCCTTCCTTGTAGTAGCGGAACAAGATCCCAAGTGTTATTCTTATGAAAAGTTTCAATCTCCTTTTGCATTGCTGTCATCCACAGAGATATATTCATGCTTTCGATAACCCCATGAAAAGTTAATGACTCTTTATCCTCTGTTAGAAGACAGTATGCAATGTTGCTTTCAGTAACATATTCTGAGTGTAAAGCCGATAACATATTCTGAGTGTCAAGCCGATGTTTTTCTTTCACGAGTCCAACCGTCAAACTTTAGGAGTTTCAGACTCTATTTGTTCTTGTTCTTCGTGCTCTGATGTAGCTTTAGAAAAAGTATGATTCTGAGTATTTTTCATCTGGACTGCTATAGTCTCCTTTAAAAGGCTATTATGTTTTTCCATTTGCATTTTATCTTCTGCAAATATGACCTCTGCTGATGACTGCCTTGTAGGCAGTGGGATCCCACAAGCGATACCGCTTCATTTCATCAGCATATCCTAAGAATACAAATTTTCTGGATTTTGAATTCAGCTTCCTGGCTTCTTGAGTATTGTACATCACGTACACAAGACTTTCAAATATATACAATCAAGAATAATCAATTAACTTTCCGGTCCACATCTCCATCAATGTCTTTAGCTAAATTGCAGTTGACAGAGATAGATTTATCACATAACATGCAGTATTGACTGCTTCTACCCAGAATGACTTTCCCAGACTTGCAATATTCAACATTGCTTTTGTTCTTTCTAATAGAGTTCTGTTCATCCGTTCTGCCACTCCATTTTGTTGTGGAGTATATGTTGTTGTAAACTATCTTTAAAAACCTTTATGTTGATAAAAGTTATCAAATTCATCACTAGTATATTCTTCTCCATTGTAAATCCTCAAATACTTGATTTTCTTTTCAGATTCAAGTTCTATCCGTGCTTTGAAGATTTTAAAGACTACAAGCACATCTGCCTTCCTTCTTCTTGGATACACCTAACATTTACTAGAGAAGTCATCTATAAATGATATAAAGTATCTTGCTCCTCCCAATGATACAATCGGTGTTTGTCAAACATCAAAATGAATCAGGTCTAAGATGCATTTACTGTTAATTGTTGATATGTCAAACTTTAACCTGTGTTGTTTACTTGTAACATAATGCTTATAAAAAGGTAAAGTAACATTTGTAAGTCTAGGAAGTAACTTCTCATCAAAGAGAATTTTCAAACCTTTCTCAGACATATGGCATGGTTTTTTATGTAACATCATCGTCTTATCTTATGTAGGACTAGCTGATGTAATTGATACCTCTGTTTTATAATGTGTCTCTCTCATTAACACAGACAAGTTTGCAACTATCTTTCTTGCCTTTAAAATCATCAACGCTTCTTTAAAAAATTTTCTGATTCCATTATCTAGTCCGAATCTTACAGCCAAGACTATCAAATTGTCCCACAAACAAAATATTCTTCTTTAAACCTTTCACATATCGCATTCTTGAAATAGCACAAATTGAGCCATCATACATTTTCAATTTGATGGTGTCAATGCCAGCAATCTCTAAAGCATGATCATTATCCATGAACACTAAGCTTTCAGAGATGAGTTTATATGTATGAAACCAAACTCGATTATAATCATTCTCCATGTTGCTCCTGAATCCACTAACCAAACCTCAGTGAGCTCTTTTCTATATATAGAGATTGTCGCTGCTTCACTATATAAAACCTCCCCATCTTCTGAGGTGCTTACAACACATTCTTGAGATTTTGATGACTATGCAATATTTTCTATACCCTTTTTAAACCAACAATCCTTTTTAAAATTTCATTTTCTACCATAGTTGTAGCATTTTATAGTCTTCTTATTGATTTGGACCTCCCCTGCCTTTGACTCCCACTAGAGCCACGCTCCATTGATCTTCCTCTTGACATTAACGCCTCTGCTTGGTTTGAACTATTTTTATCTCCTTTGTTTTTACACTTAGTTTTTTCTTTCAAAATAGCGACTGCAATATCATCAAAGACTAAATAGTTTGAGAGGATATTAGTGGTTAAGTTGATAATGAGCTGATCATACGAATCAAAAAGACTTTAAAGTAGAAGTTTTACACGTTCATTTTTCTCTATTTGTTGGCCCAACGTAGTGAGTTATGAAAACAAAGTTCTTACTGTGTTGATGTGATTAGGCACCGACATGATTTCCGCCATTCAAATAGTATAAACTTCTGCTTTAAGAAAATCTTATTGTGTAAAGACTTAGACTCGTATAGCTTTGTTAGAAGTATCTCATATCTCCTTAACTGTTTTCTTTTCCACCATACTTGATAATACTTCATCAGCTAATGTTAAATATATGTTAGCAATAGAATTGTTATCTATCTCATTTCATTTTGCATTATCAGTGATCTCCGCAATCGTTCCTCAATTGTTGCCAAGCAATTATACTTCATTCAAATTGCCTTGATTCTCATTTTTCACAGTGAAAAATTGCTCCCCTTGAACCTCTTAATCTCGTACTTTGCTGCTATTTTATTTATTGTAATCTATTCAGCTATCATCATTGTCATAACCTATTTTTAAGCCCCACGTGAAAAATAATAAAGATTGTCAAGATGCCGCATACATGCGACAGCCGTTTCACTAATCTGCAACATATACAAAAATAATATCGTGTGAATAATACTTCACTAAGAAAATTCCAAGGAAAAATTGAAGGGGTCACAAACAGTCCCGCTTCAAACTCAATCACCTTAAATAGAACTTCCTAGACTGTGTTTAATCACCGCACTGACTTTCTATATACGCTAACAGTAACATAAGTGAACAGTACCGTATGGATGAATAATGCCATTTAAGTGAATAATGTCGTAGATGTGAATAGTAAACGTATACACGAATAACTTTCGTGTGTTAACAATACCAACCAGGAATACTCTGATACCACTATTAGAATACTGGCATGCAAACTGGACAAAATAAAAAACAAGGGATAGGATAAAATGAGAAATGAGAGAAGAATTTACGTGGTTCACCCAAATTTAACTACGTTCACAGGCAAGTATAGGCAGATTTTACTGAGTAATATGAGAATTACAACCTCTTTTTACTAATAGAAGAACAACTGAAATTTCTTCATTACTAAAAGAAAACACCTTACTATCTCATAAATACCTCACAACTTTATGAGATTACTATCTTCTTACTCTCTTATGATGTACAAAATAAGCTTGGATGCATTGCTTATTTATAGGCAAGCATCCATGATAAAAGACAAGAGGCATTAATTGGTGCTACAAGTGGCACCAATTTGTGCTGCAAGAGGTACTAATTGACACCAATTAGTGTTACAAGTGGCAACATAAATTGATGCTTGTCTAGCTGACTTCACAGTTTACAGTAAATCTAGCAACATAAATTAGTGCTTGCCTCACTAGCTTCACAAAAAAAAGTTGAGGTTATTGGTCAGATTGACCATCTGCACTAGGCTTGCACTAGCAAAGGAATGCCCATTAGAGATGGTCATAGGAAAGTCTTCAACCTTTCACTGATGAAATATATGCGGATAGTTTCCTTGGCATTTGGAATGATTGTTCTAACTTCTAAATGTTTGAAAATTATTATGCCTTGGATAACATAAGTGGCAATACCATCTATCTTCAGAATAATTTTGATAATGATTGCTATTAGAAAGTCATAAGATGATAATAAATATTTGTTCGATTCCTTTTACGAAAAAATTTACCATGACAAAATGATTCAGCTTAAAAAGCATACCTGTAATAGTGGCCAAACTAAATTCTGAAGGCACATTCGCCTCTCCCTCCACAGCAAATTTGGCTGCAGCTATACCGACTGCAATGCTCTGCATAATATCTAAACCTGAACAGAGAGAAGCAAGCGTACCACCAACCAAGCAGTCACCAGCTCCCGTAAGCCTCACAGCTGATGCAGGAAGTGCAGGAAAATGCACAGAAAAAAGATGAGAACTTCTCTCAATCTGCAGAGCACTAGAAAATCTACTTGAAGGACAGCTGGACACCACGTTATCATATAACTGTCCACTGAATCCATATTTTTTGGTTCTATCCAAACTAAATCTCACTACGTTTGGTCCTCTAGAACATAAGAGCACACCATCTGCACCAAGGGTCACAGCAACTATCTTGATACCCTTCTCTAGCAAAACCAGGATTGCCGGTTTCAAAAATTGGAACAAAGACTCAACTGAACACCTACTGTTGGAATCCCTTTCAATTTGACGAAACATATTTTCATGAGATAAAGCATTAGCCATGGCGATAAGCTCATCTTCATTAGGTGAAGCAAAAGTTACCTGTAAAAGTTTCCAAATCAGTTTGGGGTTCAATGTGTGATGAATAATAGAGCTATTGCAAATTCAAGAAGTTTCTCTAACAATTCTTTCTGCTCTAAGGTATTAAATTACTGTTTCACTCATCAAGTATGATCAGCCCTTTAATTGAAATGAGACAATAAACTGGTATTATTTTAAAAGGTTGCGGACACATAAGTTGAGGGTAGCCTTAATTTAGAAGTTACAGAGATTAGCTTCCATTGAAAGGTAAATTAAACATGAGCAATATATCAAGGTTGAAGTGGAGCAGAACTTGCAATGTATCCTACCCAACTTACTGATCAGAATGACGCCATCTATGTCCTACTCATTCTAGAAAGTAGATCCTTCCTCAGGTATCCAAAAAGGATAATGATTTCGAAATAGAAAGCAGCCAGTAACACTGATCTGGCTAATTTCTGATGCACAACAAAATATTACGAAGTTTGATTCACAAAGAAAAACAAAGGGGCTGACCTAGAAAGCACTGTTGGTATTAATTGATGATAGGACATAGGTAATTGAAAACATCGAAGCACTCACATACTTAGCAACTGAGACAATTCTTCTAGATTTAGCCACTGAAACAGGCTCAAACCAAATTGGGGTGTTGGATTCTGCTGCCACTGAGTGGAAAAAAAAAAGGTTAAAAAACAAGAAAGTAGAACAGGGAGATTTATGATTAGCATAGAGTTGATTATTCACCAATGCCAAGGATAGAATGTGCGTAAGAGAAAAGAGGGGGGGGGGGGGGGGGGTTACAA